TTGTGGCTTGGGTTAAACATATTTTTAGAATGGGTTTCACCACCCCCAAATTCAAAGAATCCATGAGTTTTGGTATTCTAATGCTGAGCTAAAAATCCATCCTGTCCATCACTATTTGTTGTCAACAAGAATCTAGGCATATTTAACTAGAAAAGGGTATTTTGCGACGTTGTCAATGAGTTAGACTCAAGTGTGCCATAGAGATTTGTAAACAAAGACTAATATAAGCTTGGCAGTGATTTGAAGAAATTTAACCATTGGTTTTTGTTTTCTTTTGTTTTCAGAACTGAGAACCTTGCATTCACCAGGGCCTTGCATTTACCAGGCAAGTGCTCTTCCACTGAGCTAAATCCCCAACTCTTATTTTGTTTTGTTTTCAGTCATGGGGCTTGAACTTGGGGCCCAGGTCCTGTTCCTGAGTGGTTTTGCTCAAGGTTAGTGCTCTATCACTTTGAGCCACAGCTCCACTTCCAGTTTTCTGGTGGTTAATTAGAGATAAGAGTCTCATGGATTTTCCTGCCCAGCCTGGCTTTGAACTCACACCTGTAATCCTAGCTACTCAGGAGGCTAAGATCTGAGGATCATGTTTGAAGCCAGTCTAGGCTACCAAAAAGCCAGAAATGGAGCTCTGGCTTTAGCAAAAGGATGTCAGGGACAGTGCCCAGGACCAGAGTTCAAGCCCCAGGACTGGGTGGGTGGGGGGTGGGAGGGAATGGAGTCTCACAGACTTTCTTGCCTGGGCTAACTCTGAACCAGGATCCTTAGATCTCAGCCTCCTGAGGAGCAAGGATTATAGTCATGAGCCACTGGTGCCCAGCAAGATTGTCTTTTGATTGGGCTGTGATAGGCAGGCAGTCTGGCACCTGTGTTCTGTAGTGCTACTAGGCCTCCTTGAAGGGATGAAGGCCTCCTTGCTAGGGCATTGGTTGCTTCTGTTAAAGTTTCTCTTCCTAGATAGACATTCTTACGAAATCACGGCTCATCTCAGCCCCTTTCACTAATCTGTATAGACTCTTTTACCATAACACTTGTGGAATTGATCAAATAATACTCTGGAATCTTGAGAATATAAATAGATGAATGCTTTATTCTCACTGAGCCTTTTATTCTCCTGGTCTCACTGCAGCTTTTTGACTAAAGTTGCTGAGTAAAAAAACCCAGAAACTACATAGAGAAGACATACAGGAGTCATACTTTTAAGTGATTGCTTTCCTTCATGCTCTTATGGTTTTGTAGCTATAAAACCATATTAGGTGAAGAAAAAAAAACCTCTATTTGCACTAATATTAGCTTTCTGGGGGAAAAAAGAAGTCTATAAATGACATAGGCTTGGGGGAAAAATATCTTCTAAAATTTAATTCCAGTGGTTATTTCTAAGAGTGAGATTACAGTTCTCTGAATTGATCAGACCGAGGCCACCTAGGAGGCTGTTAGGTAAGAAGGTGGTATTTTCTGGCTATCTATGAAACAAATTGTCAACGTTTGGGAAGCCATAAGGCACCTAGCACAATAAGCTATTCTGGAGTTTGAATGTTAAGGTTGTAATGGGTGATATTATCAAGGATATCATGACATGTGACAGATGTTATTTTGTTTTTCTTCTTTGTGGTTTTTTTTTTTTTTTTGCAGTGCTGGGGTTTGAACTTAGGGTCATTTATTAGTTAGGCAGGTGCTCTACCACTTGAGCAATGCCCTAGCCCTTTTTCTTTTAGTTAATTTTAAAAAATAAGGTATCCCATTTATGCAAGCTGGCCTGAACTTTGATCTTCCTATGTATCACCTCCCCTCTCCCCATGAAGCTGGGATCACAAGCTTCAACCACTATGCCCAGCTTTTTACTGGTTGAGGTGGAATCACTTTAACTTTTGGCAGTGCTCGCCTCAAATTTCAATCTTTACTAATCAGCCTCCAGAATATCTAAGATTATAGGCATGAAAGACTGCTTAGACTATATATTGCTCATATGACATCACTTTACCAGACAATATGGAAACAGAAACAAACTCTGGAATGACTGTGAGTTTCAGAGCTACAGTGAAAATGCTGAGGTTTGTTATTGGCTCTCTCACTCACCTCTTCCCTTGTTTCCTCCCAGTTTTTCCCTCTCATCCCCCCTCACTCCCACTGCTAAGAGGTTTTAATGGAAGAGAGCCACAGGTATTGCCTATATTGTATAAGACAGTTTTTGCATTATAGTGGTGTGGCCTAATTGCACAGTCACTACTTTTGAGAAGTGCACAGACCATAAAGAATGAAACACTACTGGCCCTTTAGTTAAAAAGTACATTGCCCCTTGGTATAGGAGGCACATAAAGTCTAAAGCTAAACAATATGGGCATGATGCTGGAAAAAGAGAATGCCTCAGTTTCCTGATCTACAAACTCAGGGTAATAACACGATTTACCTGATCAGGTTGCTGGGAGAATTAAATGAACTTGCCCAGACAATTTGTGAAACGTTAAAGTTTTCAAGGTTTTCTGTGTCTAACTACTAGAGACTAAGGTTTTATTCATTCTGTTTAAAAAATAGAAAAGGTACCAGAAGTTCTTACAATTCGAGAAGTCTTTGTATATGTGTGTGTGCATGTATGTGTGTGTGTGTGCATGTATGTGTGTGTGTGCATATACTGGTGTGTGTGTGCACACACACCAGTACTGGGCTTTAACTCAGTACCTCATAGTCTCTCTTGAGCCTCTTTTGCTCAAAGCTGGTGTTCTACCACTTGAGCCACACCTATACTTCCAGCTTTTTGCTGATTTATTGGAGAGTTTCCTTGACTTTTCTCCCTGAGCTGCCTCTGAACTGCATTCCTCAGATTTCAGGCACCTGCCCTTTTGTTTGTTTGTTTCTTTTAATTTACTACAGAAAACCTTCAGAAACAAATAACTGGGGCCTACATATAGACCTAGAACCTAAAAAACTTGGTTTCTGGGCTACTCAGGACATTTGCTCTTTGCACTATAACGTGGTCTGCTCCCTCGTTTCTCTTACTAACCTTTACACATGACCAACACTCTCCCTGTCTTCCTTTTTTTTTTTAGGTCCAAGATTGGGACTTGAACTCAGTACCTGTCACTTTTACTCACTGGCTAACACTCTACGAACTGAGCCATGCTTCCAACCTGCCAGGTCTTCCTTATTCCCTGTTATGTCCGCTTGCTGGCCCGGTCAGACACCTTTCACAATGCTTTGTTCCTAAGAGGTCTTTCATCATTCAATCCACTCCCAATAGGTTACTCTCTAGTGTCATGATTCTTGTCGTGCGCATGCAATTTTAAACAATTATACATTTTTCACTGCTGCCTAATCGTTCTCTACTTTTCCTCTAAGTAATTGTCCAATCTAATCATAAGACTGTAATTCCTTAAAAGCAGTCACATATTTTCCCTTCTGGTTCTCGTTACATTGCGTTCTTGTTACACAGCAGTATCTAGCACATAGCGGGCTTTATCAAATGCTTCTTGCATTAATAAATAGACACAAATATATCCTGTGAACAGAAATGAGTAAGTGGAAAAAGAGAAATGAATAACTTTGGCACTTTGGGACTTCCACCAAGATTGCAAAAAGGATAATTTGCTTGTACATGGATTTAAAAATCAAGATGTAGGGCTGGGAAAGTAGCTCAGTGGTAGAGTGCTTGCCTAGCATTCATGAAGCCTTGGGATGGATTCCTCAGTACCACATAAACAGAAAAAACCAGAAGTGGTGCTGTGGCTCAAGTGGTAGAGTGCTAGCCTTGAGCAAAAGAAGCTCAGGGACAGTTCCTAGTCCCTTAGTTCAAGCCCCAGGACTGGCAAAAAGAAAAAAGAAAATAAATCAATGTGTAGAATTGGGAAGGGGGGAGGATATTAAAGTTAAAAGGGGATTGTTAGGAAGATTGAAAGATGAAAGGGAAGGGGAAAAGAGATGAGAAAGGAAATGATGGAAGGAATGTGGTCAGAGTATATTATGTGCATATATGGAAATGTCCTAACCTATTACTTTGTACAACTAATACAAACTAGTAACCAGGTACCAGTGGCTCATGCCTGTAATCCTAGCTACTCAGGAGGCCAAGATCTGAGGATCATGGTCCAAAGCCAGACCTGGGAGGGAAATCTGTGAGACTCTTCTGTCCAATTAACCAGCAAAAAGCCAGAAGTAGAGCTGTGGCTTAAGTGGTAGAGTGCTAGCCTTGAGCAAAAAAGCTCAGGACAAGCACCAAAACAAACTAACAAAAAAATATCACAAAAGGATAAAAGTTGCCAGGTACCTGAGACTCATGTGTATAATCCTAGCTACTCAGGGGGCTAAGATCTGAGGGTCTTAGTTCAAAGCCAACTAGAGAGAAAAGTCCATGAGACTCTTATCTCCAAAAATCCAGAAGTAGAGTGTGGCTCAAGTAGTAGAAGTTGGAGCAAAAATAGCTCAGGAACAGAGCCCAGGCTCTAAGTTCAAGCCCCCAAACCAGCACCAAAAAAACCCCACCCCAAAGTATAAAAGTATATTCATTGAAAATGGAGACAACAAACTATAATTGAGAGATTGAGAGATCAACTCCATCCTGATCCTATCAGATATATTAGCCCTATGACATTGTCAAATGTTAGTTCTAATACGGATATTGTGAGCCATGGCAAACAGTTATTTAAGTTTTTTTTATTTAAAATTCCCTAGAAAAGATTGTGTGGGAAATCCCACACACGTATAATTTCCATCTGCATGTAGAACATACCTTTGGCAACATTACCTAATAGATGAGTATTGTGGAACATATTTTATTATACTGGTAGACAGGCAAAGTGAATGTGTCCCAGGAAGGGGTCTTTTCCATTAACTTTTATAAAGGCTTTTATTTCAAACTTTCATTAACATCTGACAGGCGAGCTGAAGAAAGCTTTGCTTAGAGCTTGGGTTAGGGGCAAAAAATGCATTTTGGCAAAAAAAAAATTCCAAGATTACACTGACTTGTGCGAGAATATACTAATTTGTTTTGTTTTGTTTTGTTTTGTTGGGAGTGTGGAGAAAAGGGAGAGAAAGGGAGAGAGGAGTCGTGGGCCTTACTTTATGGTTGCTATGGTTGCAAGGTCAGCCTTCCACCCTTGAATGTACCAGCAGAGGTCAGACAGGTCAACGTGCGACTGGCCCAGGCCCTGGGGTTAAAAGTTCAAGCAGGGATGGAAAAACCAATATGTCCATGCAGAGTATGCTGTACAATTTATTTCAATTTACATCAAGCCATGCATATAAAATTTAGATAAATTCCATTCAGATCTGATGTTGCCTGACATACAATGTATGCAAACAGATGTCTGTGGGGCTTTTTTTTTTCCTGTGCTTTGGAAAACAACATTAAATTTAAAAATATGTCTCTGGGATTTCTTTATTGAATTACAAAATGAACATAACTTTAACTTAAATGTTTTCATTCTTCCAATTTTTTTTTCTTTTTAGTTGGTGGGGGGGGAGGTCTTTATAATTTCTCAGTTCTCAATCTACTCGGTGTCATAGTAGAGAGGAATAATGTATATTTACAACGACAGACTCCGTGTTATTGTAGTTATAGATTCTATTTATATCCCTTACCACTTTCCACACATATTTAGTGATGGATATTTCTGAGTCACCTCTGCTTTGCTGAGCCTCCTCTCCTCTTGTGGAGGCCTGTGGAGGCTGCCGGGGCGTCTGCTGGCCACAAGGTGGCTCCCCCCACCCCTTCTCCTGAACCAACCCCACGTACACCTTTGCAGAGTGTTTAACCAGACGGAGATTCAGAGGCTAATTATGACCTTTCCATGCCATTATTTTTGTTGCGAATTACATGGATCACACCATCCAGGCCTTGGTATTCTGACACACGAGGCAAAATTGCCATTTTATAAGAAGAGAAAGAAAAAGGTCTTTTCGTTCTGCCCAATTTCTCTTTACCCATCCTTCCAAAGGTACTGGCCAATCAGAAGAGTGATAGACTGGATACAGCCAAATGTAAGCAAAGCATACAACTTGCTGATGCTCAGAATGGTCCTTACACGGGGGGCCTGACACCCCCTTTCTAGGAGGACTTTTTTTAGAAGTTCTACATCAAGCCACAGAGAAAAAGCAGTGGTCGCTAAATCTGTAAAAAGTTTCAAAGGAGCAGAAATGTTACATGCTTCCTTCTCACAGTTAGTCAAATAGCTTGCATATTTCAAATGTGTCATTTTTACAGCATACATCCTAATTTTCTCCAGACAAACCAGGTATTGAAAGACAAATCATATATCCTATTACATGGAAGTTCTTTCTAAAATTCTAAGTCCCACTTTCTCTCATTTTACTTTTTCCTGGGGTGGTTGGGGGGGCACTCTGGGGAGAAACTATTTGGCAAAGTTTTATTTTCCTCATCTGTACAATGGAAATTAAACAAAAATCCTCATGGGATCTTTTAAGAGTCTTTGGTACACAACAAGAGCCAGAGAAATCTAATTGTGACTACAAAGTTTTTAAATGAAAAAATAATTATTGAGGCTTAAGACCTCCTGGTTTACAAGTACTCTGTGACAATCAAAATGAACTTTCATGTATTGCATAAAGATCCAAAGAATATCAATTTCTAGATGCTTAAGAGTTATCATCAAAGTAATTGATAGTGTCTGGGAATTTTCTTCCACAAAAATTTAAAATAGGTAACATTTTCTTCCTGATTCATGGTATGGATTCATTATGACATTTCGAAAAGAAACTACTGATTTCCAACTCTCATCCTCATTTGAAACAATTCTTTGGGAAATTATGACCTTACTAAAGCAAACAGCTATAAACATGGTTTATAATAACTTAGTTGTGATATTCATATTATAAACATTTTCCTTTTCCTTTGATTACTCTGTCAAAAAAAAAAAAGGTGTTCGGAATCTTACTTATGCCCAAATGTAACTTTGTTAAGCCTCTAGTTAACATAAAACATATGAATTTCCTGCTTCTAAAGTAAATAAACATTTTGAGTTCTCTGGTAAGCACTGCCTTGACAATTCTTGAGTAAATTTAATAAGGGTATAAATGATACCCTTAACTTCAAGTGGCCTCTAATAATTCAACCACAAGCTGAGGTTTATGTGGACATGAAATCCTGCATTCAAACATAACTCCTTGTTTGTATAAGGAAGGATCTCTATACATATAAATGTATACATATGTGTCAGTATGTGTGTGTATGTGTGTGTGTATCTGCACATGTAGAGTCTCCTAAAGCTTGCCATCTATTTGGAAATACATATTCAGAGACCAGGCAAGATAATCAAATCAATGTTCAGTAACCAAGGAGAGGAGTATGACATTTTTTAATACCTGCTCTACTGCCATGCAACTCTTTAGTCTTTATTATCTCTGTCACCTACTACCAGGTGCCTCGTAGACAAACGATATCACTGTTCTAGCCATTTATTTCTATTTGGAATTATTTCAGGCCTAACTCTCAAGAACTGCTTGGAATGGCTGTTCTGATAAGTTGGCCTTGTACGTTGGAGTAAGACATGCCAGGGGAGGTGGAGAAAAGTCTTTAGGCAGAGACAACTGAATCCTCAAAAAAAGAGTTTTGGTTTTTTTGAAGGAAGTCTGCCTTGGTTTTGCCTACATTTGTACACACACAGCTTCAAATAACTTTATTTCCGATCAAAACTGATGAGATCTTCTTGCAAGGATGCCAGCAATCAGGAGGAGGATCATGAGTTCAAGTCCAGCTACACAGTGAGTTCCAATGCCAGCCTGGGTTACATAATGAGACGCTGTCAATAACAATACACAGTCCCACCCTCAGATAAACCCTCTTTCTGTTCTGGCAAAACATATGTGATATCTTTTTTTAATTTGTATTAAAATTTTTCTTTTTCTTTTACCAAAGCAGCTTTTGCTGTATACATCAACGTTCACTATATTCTTAGTGACCCTTTCTTTTCTGTGAGTTCCAGACATCAGTTAACAGAACCCCTTCAAGAACAGATGTACTGAGGAAATGCATCAATTCGTTATGTGTTACAGTTTGGGGTGTCTGTCCTATGGGTTTTCTCGCCAAAGGCTTCTATGTTTCCCAAGAGAAATTTACTTTCATGAGAGGAGAAAATTGAGGCAAATCACTGCTGTTAGACCCTCCAGTCAGAAACCCTGGCTTGCTGTCCGTCTGCCTGCGAAAAGAAAAAGCCCACGACCGGCCACCATTCCAATCCATCTCTCCTTCTTTCCCAATGTGAAAAATGACAAAAGGAGCCAAATTTTTCTCTGTCAACACAATGTGTATGATTACAGCTGTTCATATTTTCGCTTTAATGACGGCCTGCATGTTTAATTGTAAGATTTATTAGAGACTATGCATTGCAGTACCGTTTAATCGACATCTAAAATGCTGGTTGCTTTATTTTGACATGCACGATCATATTTCTTCATTTGAAACCCCCCCCCCCACCAAAAAAAAAGCAGTTGGGGCCTGGAGTGGAGAGGAGGGGGGAGTGGGGAGTGTGGGGTGTGAAGATGTATTTCGTTTCCTCCAAATAAGAAATTAATGAATTCAATGGAAGAAAAAATAAAAAGGGCTGGAGGGGGGAAAAACCATGTTGATTTATACAGCTTTCCCAGCCCCCCCCACTTTTAAGTCTATAATCCCCCTCCCCCGTTTTGCTGGAAATAAGAGAGTTGGTTGCTTAGCTTTGTTTGATTTCACGGGGGAGGGGAGTAACAGAGAGAGAGAGAGAGAGAGAGAGAGAGCGCTCATACGAGGCTGGGTTCATAAACAGGTGAAATGATGGCGTTTATTGCAACGCACATCAACACTGAAACTAAATAACTGTGTTGCCATCTCGGTCCCCCGGAAAGACGGATGGTAAACTTGACCTGCCGCTGGTACTATCCGATTGCCATTTTTTATCCCCCCTCGGCCGCCCCCCCAGGCTGAGGCTGGCTGAGTAAATGCGCGAGCACGGTCAGGTCAGAGCCCGGCACCGGGTGAAACTCCGTTCACATTTGCATACAGGCGGGGCTCACAATGCAGCCCCATCTGTTCCCGTCTCCAGTACAAATCGAGTGTCAGCGCGACTCCCTGCAACCCACGCCGCGCAGCACCGCCGGCCCACCGACGGGCGGCCGCTGATTTGGGTTTAAATACCTGATAACTGAACACTTTTCATTCTAGGTGAACAAAGAATGAACTTTGAACTGCCCCGGGGAAGATACCCTCTCCTCTCTTCTACACAGGCCACCTCTATTTCTATCAAATACTAATAACTGTTGTATTTTCCAGCCCTCCCCCCTCTCTCTTTTGAGGGGGGGGGACCATAAAAATTCTCCAGGCCGAATGTCACAATGTCCTAAATAATTGCCTTTTTGTTTAAGGAGGGAGGGGGAAGGGAAGGGGAAGAGGTGGTAGGCTAGTTGTAAATAGAAAATGAACTCTGAACTCTATGTATCTCCCCCCCCTTCCCCACCAAAGGTCATTAATATCATGGCCATGTTGTTCCTTGAACTTCTGAATTTTTTTTTCTTTCAAGGTAGAACATTTTAGGTGCAAGAGTTTAACCAAAGTATGAACTGCTCCAGCCCTTTATCCCTCCTTCCCCAACCCATTCAGTTATGCCAAGCACCTGCTTGCAGAATTTTCTCCTGTCACAGGACTGTTTATTTAAAAATAATTTGTCAATCATGATATGTGTCGGAGAGGTTTTGGGGGGCTGTTGTTAAAATTCAGAGAGTACTTGAGTGTTTACAGACTGAAACCACATACATTTTGACATGTAAAGTGTTGCTCAAGAAGAAACTCAAGGATAATAAGCTCATCCAAGCACTAGACATAATAAATACAAGGAAATTTATGAGCAAAAATACCACTAGAGTTTCATCAAATGCCTTCTTGAACTGTTTTTATGGCAAGAGCTTATTTCTATTAAAAAAGGAAGACACACACAGCTTGGGTTTGTGTGCTTGTGTGTTTTTTTAAAAATTGAGATGTATCTGCAAGAACATTCTCAATTTGCTTTAAGCAACGATGTGATTTCTTTTTTCTTACACACATTTCTCTTTCTTAAAACTTCTTGCTAGAACAATATTGATAGAATACAAAGTACTGGGATCACACAACGACTCTAGAATGTTCAAAGGCCAATGGATCTCAAAGGCTGTGTTTCAGCCAGGATTTCTTTACCACTATGTGAAACTATGTTCTTATTGTTTGTCCTTTAAAAATTATACCAGGGGAAAAGAAAAGGTTTGAGGGGCTTTTTCTTTTTTCATCCTATGCAAGAGCCTACGGTCAACCTTAATGGACGTTCTACAAGCATTAAAAGAGAGAATAGACCCTTTGTTTCAGAAGAATGACCAAGACAAGGGTGGATTTTGGTTCCACTTTGTCAAGTTTAAGGGGAAATTGAATTCAAGGAAGAAAGAGAGATTGAACCCTCCTCACGACTTTCGTAGTGGTCCCCCTCATCGCTTCCAATCTTAAACTTACAATATTGTACTGTTATCCTGTAAACAAGACAGAAAATGGCAGTAGGGGACTTGTAGTCATGTGATA